GAGGAATCTTTTAGGAGCAAGGTGAGAGGGAACTGGGCACAGTAAAGTTTCCACGGGACTAGAGAGTGAACTCAGGCTGGGGATTGGCAAAATAAATGAAGTAGTGGCATCAGACTCGTTGCCAGTTGTCAGACTCATTGCCGGTTCCCCTTCAGGTAGATCGCCATGGGGAGCTGGCCCAGGAGAGGAAACAGGTGCAGAGATGCTCCACTTTCTGGTTGATGCCCCTGAAAGCTCTGGCCATGCCCAGGTCTGTGGGCAAAGAGGCAACACTGAAAATTGCAGCTGACCAAAGAGAAGAAGCCACAGCTTTTGATAAATGATCACAGATCCCAAGTTTGGGTCATTCGCGCAAGGACTGGGATAAAAGGAACTTACAATGGATTATTCCAGAGTATTGGAGGGAAGAGGGGCACCCTGCTGACCACAGGGAATAAGGCCCCTGCCTTTCAGGTCACTCAGGTTAGGCACCTGCCGACATGTTGGCAGCCTGCAGGAGAGGAGTAGCTGAAGGAAGTACCTGACTTCTAGGCTCCTACAGCATACTCATTCCTCTCTCTCCACGGAGAAAATGTTATCTCTGCCTGTGTGCACAAGTTAAGAAATAAGAAGTAGCTTGTTGGAGGGGAAAAAGTGAGATAAGAGTTCTTTATCCAGAGTTGCTGTAAACTTGATGGTATTATTCTGTACCCATAAGCAGTGGATAGAAAAAGATTTAGATGTCAAGATAACACCTGCTTTTAGAAAGTAGAATCTAGTCCACCCAATCTAGTGTGTATACTTAGAGTTTCAAAAACGGTCAGAGGAGAGGGGAAAGGGGATGGGGCGTGGTTTGCTGGAGGGTAGTGGAACATGTGTACGTATGAGAGAGCAAAAATGCTAACGCCCAGACTAAAAGAAAAACTGAAGATTAAAGATTTATAAACAGGAGAGCTGTCAAAAAAATAAGCTCAAGGGCTTGTCGTTCCCTGCAACTCCCAGAAAGAAATAGTTAGTCTGTTACCTGAAAAGAACTTGTTCGTGTCCACCCAGACTTGCTAGGCAGATGGATTTCCCAAAAGCAGTGTAGTAGTTTGGTTTCTCATTCATTTCTCGTAGGTTACCGTTCAGCGATTTCAAAATTAGTGTCCCCTCATGTTCTAGGGTTCCTTGGGCAAACTGCTAACATTTCCCACACCTTCACACAATCTTCAACTGCAAGAGTGTTACCTCCACCCAGTGTTCCTGTGAGACCAGTAAGTACCCTGAGGCTTCATTTAACATGGTCTAGAGGCTCTTGGAAGCTTCCAGTTGAAGTAAAACACAACTAGCAAGTCAACTGCTTGACGAAAGCTCTACAGCATTGGCTGGGATTGTATTTTTTCATCGATGTGATTATGAGTAGCATTGGAGGAAATGAGGTTATTCAAAGAGCTGCTGTCACTGATAGAATAAAAATGGAGCCACGAGGCAAGAGAGAAGGAGGGGCCCTCATCTGGGGTGGACAGGGGAGTTGACAGCAAACAGGGGAACCCCAAAGACTGAAGAGAACCCATTTCTCCAATGCTCCTTCGAGAGTGTTTGTAAAATTGCTCATTCAGAGTGTTGGTTAATCTTTCCTCTAACCACCATGGCAAAATCAGAGGAGCTGTGAATGTGAAAGAAAACATTAAAAGCAATTAAAAACCCACTAGCACTTATAAACAAGGGTGAGGACAGACAGTGGCTTTGGTCATATTTCCGTGTTCTGAAGGAACTTGCTCCACGTTGGGGCAAATTTTGCAGTTTTGTTTTGTCTTTTTTTTTTTTTTTTAAACAAGCCGAACACTCCGAGGGACACTGACTTAGGGACACATGCCAGCCAGGAAGGAAGCAAGCTGCTTCAGCTTGCTGAAAGAACCACCAGGAGGAGGAAGTATTGAAAAAGTCATGGATAGGCGTGTGGAATGACAGATGCCTTAGAAAAGAACAACTTCAAAAAAAGTTTTTATTTATCCATTAAAAGATGAGATGCTCACAAATGTCAATGTCTAGAAAAGCCATTTACAGGAAAATTCACAACACAGGAAAGTTCACAGAAGTTCAACGGAGGCCTTGAGACACCCTGGCCCGGGGGCTCAGCCACAGAGGGGCCAGCACAGCACAAGCGGAAGCTGCCTGGCCCGCGTCCTCTAGAACATGGGGGGTGGAGCCCCAGAACAATAAAGGCCCCCCATTTCAGAGTCCAAGGAAAAACGTGTCGATCTTGGAGGAGGATTGGCCTCTTTTCCCTTCAGCGTCTCTTTCGCCTCCATTCCAGCTACTTCATCACCAAGTTCCCCTCAAAGCAGTGACCGGGTAAAAGGGCGTCCGTGACACCCCTCTTGGAAGCAGAGCCATGGCGGAGATGACACGGCTGTGAAAAGTAGACTGTAGGATCATCCACTGACAGAAGAGCCCTAATTCAACATTTCCTGAGACGCGAGTCAGCTACAAAACAGTTTATCATAAAAATACAGACCTTAAAAATAACCTCACCATTACAGAAACAACATTCTGTAGGAATGGGGAAACTATGACTAAAAAGGAAGAAAGGGGCTTAGAGGGTTGGAATTATGTTTGCAATTTTCCTAAATGGTTAACAGGCCCCCCCACCTTTCTACCACCCCCCCTCAAAAAAAAAAAAAGCATTGATACCACCTGTGCTCAAAGAACATCTTTTTTGAAGAACCTCATGCATTTGCGTGCTTAAGTACTTCTCATTCTACTGCAGGATTTAAAATGTTCCCTGTCTCAATGGACGTTTCTAGCAAAATACAGTCTTCTTGCTGGGTTCTCTAGAAGGTGACTGACTAGATCCCACTTTGCCTGAGGATGAGGAGTTTGCGAGCTTGTGATTTTAATCATCGGTCACCCTGGTTCCTCAGGGTTCCAGAAAACACACATTTTTGACCAACTTTTACTAAAGCCCAAGAACAAGGAATTGGCCCAGACCACACACCAGTGAGGCTTGTGCCTTTCTGCTCTGCCCAGCCCTGCCCACCCAAGCTGATTAGCCAAACAAGTCCCGTGTCTCCCAAGGAGACTGAGTACACTGCGCTTGCTCCTCTTCTCTCACCAAATCAGGGAATAAGGTGGTTGCGCCTTCTCAAAATCCTGAGGCAAACTCCAGGATCCTTTCCCCTGACCATTGCAGTGTGAGCTCATTCAGTGACGTGCCTTCCGGGTCCTTCAAAATTAAAAATCAGTGGACATGACCCTAAAGAAGGGGGGGTTGGGGAGGGAGGCAACCTCAAGCCAAAAGCTTTTCCAGAAAATGTAACTCCAGTGTGAAAGCTGCTTAACATTTAAAAAAGAAAAGAATCCATCCTAGCCATTGAACTCAAGTGTTTAGAGAATTGAGAAGACAGGAACCCCCCTGGGCAGACACCACAGAGACCCTCCCGCGTCCCTCCAAGGTCTGGGTGAGATTAGGTGGCACACAGCCAATGGGAGCACACTGCATAGCTCCATCACAGCAGCTCCTAATTTTATCAACAGTTTCCTCTTAGGATAATATACCCCAAAAATACTTTGCATCTATAAGATGTATAATCGACTGCAGTTCACAAAATACAATCTGCGATTCTTTCTGCGTGGGTCACAAGATACCATTGACTACTGACTGAATTAAGTTGGAATTCGCTAAGAATGCCTCTACAAAGAATGAGGTAAAACTGTATTGTCAGGTTAAAATAAACACTTCGTAAAAGTGGGCTCGAGAAGATTCCATGAGGCTTTTGTTTTTTTTTTCATGTGCTAGTGACAGAGAAATGAAATGTGATGGAACAATAAGTCAAACTCCTGGGATGGAGGGTTTGGGCTGGGGGGAAAAATTGGCAAATGGTCTTTTTAGCCCTCTGTGCTGTTTAGATTTTCTATAAATTTACATGCATTATTTTATCCCTACAAACTCCTTGAAAAAAAATTAAAAAGGAATAACATCTCCTATGCTTCACCACTGAGCTAAACTACAGAAAAAGACCTTAACCTAACATGCAATCCCATCTGCTGAATGAATTTTAAAATAGAAATTAAAAAACAGAGTGCAATGTGAGAACTATCGAGTCTTTTGCTGAGCCTGAAACCAACAGCAACTATTTTGGGGGTGACAAAAATCTCAACACTGGCACCGCGGCCCAAACATCTGCACTTGTCCAACAGCAACGAGAGAAAAGTGAGCCATCGAGTTTACTTCAGCAAGTGGAACTGCGTGATTCTATAAAAAGATGTTTTTTGAAAAAGCCCAATCATTTTAAGGCTCTGTCCACCCATTATTGGCATGAGGAAGCAAGTAATATACAAAATAAGCAAAAACAGCCCACTGAGTCTGCAGTTACGCAATTTGTGAAATCTTGTCATCACCTCCGCTAACAGGGTTCACCAGTTTGAAAAACACTGGCCTCTCCTCGTTAGTGTTGTCATGGGCAACGAACCCATAGCCAAGGCAAATACACAGGATAAGAGGGGAAATGTCACCGCTGCTTCAAAATCTATCGTTCTTGCTTGGATTGCTAATCTTTTTTTTTTCTTCCCTGCTTCGAGACCAAAGTTTTGGCGATACTGTTTAGTAGGAGAGATAACGAGGACAAAAGCTGTTTGAACCAAGAATGCCTAGTTTATAGGCAGATGAAAATGCAATACTCAAGGGCAGCCCTAATGTTTTGGCTCAAGAAAATAGCAAAAGTCTATGAATGGGCTTCAGGGGGGCCCAAGGAGCAGGAGAGAGGGGAGGCAGTGTGAGTCAGGGAAAGGGGGCCTCCCTTGGGTGAGGTCCTGACCACAGAGGGTAAGGAACCACTTCAGAGCCGGAGACACCAAGACCCAACTGCAGTCAAAGACTCTATTTCTTTGTATCAGCGACTCATTTTCTACTGGAGCAGCAGCTACATCATATATGAAACCATTTGTTCCGTGTGCAGATTAACTTAGCTTTGTATGTCCCTGAGAGAGTACAGTTCTGGTGTGCTCTCATTGGTCCCGTAAGTGGTTAATACTGAAACACAAGGTTTCTCATTTTCACACCAGCAAGAATCCATATCAAATTAATAACAGCATTTGAGTAAATGTAAACACACCCTTTGGTCAATTTTCACAGTTACCGTCAAGGACGGGAGGGCCGCAGCCAGCCCTGAAGACCATCCTGTTTCAGGGATCAGCCCATCTGTCCATTTCCTGCAGATATTGCCCAGAGATACTTTTGTTGATATTCTCCTCAACAGTCGGACTGAAGCCCTAATTTCCAAGTTCCTCAAAAGAAAAAGAGGGGGTTCAGTTGGCTGTTCTTCTCAGTCAGATATTTACAAGGAAGCAAAAGCACTTGTCTTTTTACTGTCATGGCTGGAAGGCTACTGTGTGGGGGGCTACGTCATGTCGTCGAAGTTTTCATTCTTGAATAGAGGAATGGCGGATAGATCTGTGATAATCCTCAGGGCTGCTGATGTGTTCAGGCAACTCATAGCCTCTTGAGAAGTGTCCACTGTTTTGTTGAGCAAAATAATACAGCTGTCTGGCCAGAAGAGGTTCAACCTTTAATAACAGATTGAAGAGAGACATTACTGAGATAGTCTCGATAACCTCCTGCAACCCTTTCCTCGATCTGCAAGCAGTTCATTGCCTCCTCATTGACTAATTGGCCGTAAGTCAGGATACCATAAAATGACGTCCAACATCAGGTCCCATAACACACAAAAGCACCTCCTGTGTTTACCATCCTCTACAGCATTTTGTGTTAGTCTGTAACACTCCCTAACCTACAGACAGAATCTATTTGATTTGGGGTTTCAACTCCAGTTAAAGATAATACATTTAAATCAGTGCCCCCTTGAAAATTACGTTTTACCAAGGCGGAAGCAGAGCAGGTAAAATTAAGGAAGCTTGAGGCAATATTTAAGGAAATGTTGAACAGTACGTTTATTTTCCACAAGGGCAGCTTGACAGGGATGACGTGAGTCGACCCTATGAGCGATGACCTCTGAAATTACCCAGATGCTGTGTAGGTTCTAAACCAAAGACAGCAGAAGAAAACCATATCAAACAATAACAAAACTGCCATCGCGGGAAATAGATGTTAACTGATCCCAAATTCAACTCACTGGATGCATCACATTCACCCTAAAAATTTCACTTTAAATTGTTTTTGAATTTATAATTTTTGAGAAAACTTTATGCTCTCATGAACGGTGCTATTAAATCGAGCATTTCTGTTACTTGCGTATGACTAGTAGGAAGGACCTGAATTAATTAAGGGAATAGGCATTGCTGGTGGGACACACCATAAAAACAGGTTTCACGAGTACTGGATGGACTTAAGAGAAACTTCCGAACCGTTCTACTGCAGAAGTTTATTATCAACTGTTATGTTATTTATCCATGTTGGGTTTATTAGAAATCTCACAATCCTACTTGTTAATACACCATCAGTCACTATATCAATAGTTGTATCAATCTTGGGTGAGAATTCACGTGAAAGATTGTAAAGATTCAGATTCTATTTTTGTTGGTTGATTGGTTTTTGGTTTTATAATCAAGAGAAGAAGATTGCATGGTTGAGATGAGATAGTGTTTTATTTCATTTTTCAATAAGAGACCTTCTCTCAGCAAAAAATTGATCTGGATTTTGATCTTGTTCCTATCCTGTACCTGGACCCCTGAATGGAGAGAAGGAACAATGCAAACTTCTCAAATTCAAAAATCTTAGGTGTTCAAATATCTTGTTTTCTGGGGCAAATTAATGCTACATATCATCTACCTAGGACTTCTTGTTTTCTTTCTTCAGGAAAGGATGTTTGCTTCCCTGGTAGACCTAGCTTAAACTCTACTGAAGGACATGATGATGGTCTGGTTTATTGGAATTCCTTATAAGATTTACCTATCTCCACATAACACCTGCCATTAACCTTCACTAATTGAATCATTTCTAAAATTTCAGAAACCAAAGGGAGGCTGGGAAATGTTTGCAGGGAACCTACAAGTCAACACACCAGCTTCCCACTTGGAAAAAGCTTCCCCATCAAGTGAGTATCAATTTTCTGACTTTTTAAAGCAACAGTAAACATAGAGAACATAAAAGGTAACTTTGAACATGAATCCTTTAAAATCCCTACCAAATAGGAAAACGGCCATTTCTTTGAAAAATTAAAAAGATGCAACACCCACGGCTCGGGGATCACCTCCCAGGGTGTGCGAGCTCATCTGTGGGCTGGGTTCTCTGTTCACTGAGCTATGCTTCCTCCTTCATGATTTAACCAGGTCACCTGACATGTGCTTTTCATCTGGGACCTGTCTACACAGGCGCCTGCCCTTGATGAAGAACGGGCAAATTTGATCACTGGGATGCAACTGAATACTCACATGAGCAGTGATGAGCTTCCTCTGCCTCTGAGGGTCTGGAAACTCCTCCCCAAAGCACAGAGTGATCTGGAATCTTGGCAGGGGCCGGCCATGGTGAGCAAATGCTTGCAGCTCTGGAGGAAACCCACAAGAAGAGAAAATATGCTCAAAACCTCTCATCCTTGAATACGCCAAGTTAAAGCAGAAAGCAAGAGCTCACTCTGGATCTCAACACCTGAAATAGGAGAAGGTTCTGCTTCCACTTTTCTCTAATTGGGGTTTTTGGCTTTCCAGAGTCAGGGGAGAGGCTGTGCCTCCCCATCCCAGGCGTGCCTTTCCCAGGGGCTCCAGGTTTCCCTAAGTAAAGGGAGTAAGTCCTGTAGATTAGAAGCTTGCTTTGCAGTACTGGTCCCACTGGATGCAAAAGGGAGCAGAAAGGAATAAATGAGGGAGAAAATGGAAAGAAACAGCCATAATGAGGCCAAAGCACAAATTCCACCAAGGAGAAATTAACATTAAAAAAAAAAAATCAGAATCGTGTTTCTTGCCCCAGGACTATTGACAAACCTCATCTCAAAACCGCTGAGTCCCCATAATCCAAAATCTGTGCTGCCCAGCCCCCTACATGACTCAGGCCCCCAGAACACGTTCTAAGTCATCCTGGAGACTGGGCGCCATGACCCGCAAGCCCAGACTGACTGTGTGACTGAGCTGACTGTTCTCAGTCTTTCGGGACAGCAGGTGATTCCATAAGCAGAGGCCTCTGCTTCTGTGGCTGTGTCCTGACCAACCACCACTTCAACACAAGGATGCAGAGCGGCTGGAAGCACAGCTGGAAGGCTGTTCAAGCCCTGATCTGGTCTGGGGCCCTCCCTGACCCATATTCAGGATGATTCCTCCACCTCCAGCTGCTCCTGTCTCCTTCCCCAGAGTGAAACATCAAGTCCTCCAAAGAAACAAGGCTTCACCTTAGCTGCTACAACTTCTGCAGAATGGCCTGCGGAGGCAGATACATCTTTATCAGATAGCACCTCATCTGTGCCTGTGGGACTGTCCCTAAGAGTGTGCAAATCCTGAATGGGTAGATATCAAAGATTTCCACCGGTCTCTTCAACGGAAGAGACGTTTCTAGCTAACTCACTGGACGAGTTGACTTCCTGCTCTTTCTTTTTTTTCCCCCAGAATTCAAATCAAACCTAACCTCTAACTGACTTAGTCACACTGTGTAAAAAGCTCCCAGACCAGCGAGGCCTGAGACTACACCTACACAAGTTGATCAGACTGGCAAGTTGGCACAATTTTCTGAAAAAGCCAAGCCTCAGAAGCTTGATAACAGCAGCAGATTCTGTGGGAATCCTTGTTATGCAGATGAGGGGGGCACACAGCTGCTATTTTGATTCTCTTGCACCTCAGGGAACACTTGGAGATAAGAGGTACAAAGCACAGCCCTTGGTACAGATAGAGAGAAAAAAAAAAACCAGCTCCTGCTCACAGATGAATATTCACCTCCAGGTGATGCCTCCCCAGCCTGCACCAACTCAGTGCCCCGTGACCCGTGACCCAAGCTCAGCTTAAGGTCCCTTCCAACAGGAAGGCGCCACCTTCCTGAACTGTGCATGGCCAGAGAAGGGCACAGGAGCAAGAGCCACCTCCCCAGGCTCCTTCATTCAAGCCCTGGGTCAACTTCCAAAGCTAAAAGCATGTACAGTCTTCCAGGAATTTGATCCAGGAATTTGGGGGACTGTTGCAGGTGCTTCTGCAGACAGGGGTGCAGACAGGGCGTACTCCCTGAACCCCGCTCAGGATCACCACCCTGGACCCCAGGCAGGACAGAATAGCTTGGAGGGACTTCTGCAGCCCAGACCACGGAGGGCGGGGTGCAGACCCACCAGCCTCTCTCACCAAGGTGGCGGGTAGAGGGAGAAGCAGGGATGCAGCTTGTCACACCTCTCTCGTCACACCTTTCTGTCCTATCTAGAGACTTGTTTGGGCACCAAGAGAGACCTAAAGGAGTGCTGGGTAACTGGAATGCAAAAGGCTGCGCGCATGTCGATGGTGTGCGAATCCTGGACAGTCCTGTTTTCATTTGAAATGAATCAAGAACCACCTGCAGGGACAGGTGTTTCAGAAGAGAGTGCTTATAGAGGTCGAAGTGGAAAAAGAGTTAGAAGGCAGTTAGCTGGCAGGGAACTCTCTCCCTCCAAATGAGATGCTACAATAGATCCTCCCCACCAGCACCAGAGGAAACTTTGACAAAAACATGGCCTGCAGAGTCACAGCTCTGGACTCACCTAGCTATCATGAAATCAAAAGTAGGAAATCAAACCTTGGCTGGTGCTGGAAACTGATTAGAGGTCTGCATGTCACTCACAGCCTTCTCCGCACTTGCTAGGTCGGCTGGGCACACACCCATCCTTCGCCCTGCCAGCCTAGGGCGCGTGTGTCTAAAAAAGGACGCACTGGCCACTGGGCATGCCGGTAGGATTCTAATCTTTACGGTTTTCCTAGGAACACTGAAAGCTGAAGCAGCAACAGATATGCCTGCTGAACTGATACCTCCGATGCAACAGAACCTTACAAGTAGGTGACCACCTGTCGGAACCTGCAATGTCAAAGCATCAGCCAGAACTGAGCAATCTCCCGTCTCGTCTTGTATTGCTGATGATGGACAGGAGCAGGCGGTAGAGGCAGGTGACCCCGCCAGGACACCCTCCCTGGGCTTAGGCGCAGGGGCTGCCAGGGTGAAGGGGAGGACGCCCGCTGCCCAGGGGGGACCTGCCCAGGGGGGACCTGCCCAGGGGGGACCCATGGCCGCCTTCACGGGCTCTACGGCTCACAGGTGGAGGGCGTCCAGCAGGCTCTTAGGTGCGTTACCTGATAGGAACTGCTGTGTGTCGAAGAGCTTGCAGGTCTGGTCTCTCTCCAGCTTGTTGGGTCTGTCACTGCACAGGGCCAGGGGCCCGGACCAGTAGATCCGGCTCTGACACAGTCTTTTGGCGTAAAGTCCGTCGGGGGCCATCCAGAGGACCACGCCCCTCTCCAGGTGGCTCAGCAGTTTCTCAACGTTTTTCCTGTGGCCGTTGTCTTCTGGGTAGGGGAAGAGGACCTGGTCCAGGTTACTGACGTCAAAGGTGTGGCCGTGGGAGATCCGACAGCCTTCAGGGCTGGTCGTGGTTACCTCCTTCACCAGGCTCTCGCGGTAGTACAGGCAGATGTGGAGTCGGCAGTCTGCAAACACAGAGCTCTCAGGTCAGGGCCGGGGTCAGGGCAGCTGGCTGCCCACCAGGCCAAAGTGCTCAACCAGCACAGGCATTCTGATGGGACAGTGGTATCCCAAGGTGTAAAAAGTAGCAGCCTCCGGGTCTCAAGAAAGTTAGGCAGTGTTGCATGCGCTTACCTCTTTCCTAGAGAGGCACAGATGGCGAGTTATTAGAGAAATTCCACAAAAAAGAAACCTGTTTAACGTCTGACTCAACATTTTCCAACTTCAGGTATCTATGGAGCTTTGGGGCGGGGCTGGGACAGCGTAAGACTCATGAGATTTCTGCAAATCTGTTTGACACGTGTTAGAAAGCACCCGGGTTAAGAACTTCCTATGTCACTTTTTGGTTTGGTTTTTTGTGTGTGTGTGTTTCTTTTCAGTGATGATAATACTGATGACAACATTTACATAAAAAAAAACTGCTATGAAACACTGAATGAAAATTCATCTTTAAGCATGGACATCAGTTTTGACTGTGGAGGAAGTAAACCCTAAGTTTAACTTGGGCTAACAAAGAGAATATAATGGTGTTTCATTTAAAAAAAAAAAAAAAAAAAAAACCTAAGTATGCCCACACATCTGAAACAGCCCTAAAATATCAGTATGAAGTCATCTAGATAAAAAAAACACAGTTATACACAAACATGTAGTGATGAGTAGAGAAAAGTACTGACACCCTCGTCGGCCTCTGGGGGTTGGGTACATGATGTTTTCATTTTCCCTCTTTGCTTTTCTTATTGTTCAATTCATTTTCTATAGTGCAGTTGTACCACGTGTGTGATCAAAGCAGTTTATGTGGGAAAAAAAGGAATCACAGAGGACAAAGTGTTTTAAGTGTCAAGAGAAGCCTCCTGGGTGCTGTATGATCATGAGTTTGACGGTAACGACGTCTAACCTCATCTTCTAGAACATGAATCCATGCTGCTGACCTCACAATCTTTTTTAAAATGGGTCTCACAGACTGAATGGGCCAAATTAGGTCCATAATGGACCCCTTCCCTGAAATCAGAGGCCTTCCTGGATAGATCTCACCCTGGCGAATGGCCTGGGGTTTAATAAAAGTGTCGTTAGCTGGGGATGCCTCCTGGTGAAGAAGCAATCTGTAGCATATATACTACAAAAAAAAGGAAACCCACAAAACCCTCCATTCGTCCATGCCAGGTGCCGAGGTTCCAACACCCACATTGGTGTCCTAATTCTCAGTTCAATTTCAGCCACTGTGGGGACACTTCTCAAATGGTGAACAGCGAAGAGAGTGGGTGTTGGCTATTTGGGGTGACTGGCGGGGCAGGTTTCATTTCATTTAATGTCATCAGAAATCACAAGATCACGGTGCTATAAATAGCTATTGATTTCCTATGCATCAGGCACCCACACAAATCTTACGTGCTCAAGAAAAGGAGTTGAAATTTCTAAAAACAAACCCCAGCCTTTCTGCTCGGAAACACCTCATCCTCAACTTTGAGAGGCAGCGGGGTCCACTGAGAACCTCGCCATGCAAAGAAGTCAAGGGAAAAACCAGCTCCCCTGGGTCTGAAAGAGCCGCTTGTAATACACATCCCCCCGAAGCCCTGAGCATTTAGTCGAGGGTTTATTGCTGACATTTAGAGAGGCCAGGGGCAAGGTGAGAATTCTGAAGCTATTCATTTTTGATAGAACTACTCTGAGCTATTCATGTTATACCAACCCAAAATGTGATCTAAAGAAAGAAATGTGGAGACACTGTAGCTATTCGGAAGGCCTGAGCTGTCTCCTAAAAACAGGCATCACTTCTGAGGTGCGGGGACTGCAGAGATTGTTCTGGACATGCCCCTTGAAAATCCTATCTGGAATATGCTGTTTGCTTGCAAGACTTACCAAACGTCACAGGACAACCACAAGAGCTTGTTGCCTGGAGCCACTAGCAAGTCACAACGAGAAAGGAGCTGGAACTCATGTCCCAGGGAAGAGCAAGAGGGAAACCTAATGTGGACCACACCTGGAAGGACATTCAGCTTTTCAGAGTAAGTGGCCCTTGTGCTTTCTTTCTTTCTTTCTTTCTTTTTTTTAAGAACCTACACTACAGCGTGAGAATGCTGACTGAAGGGGGGCCTGTGTGAAAGGGACGGGGCATGTGTCTGTTCTCGGGTGTTCCGAGAGATGCCAGCAGGGAACTTATAACAGGTCGAGCCGGAGCGGTAGCACAGCTGCCTTCTGAGTGCTTCTCCACGACACGGCCTGGGATTGTGTCCATGTGTCCAGGCCCCGGAGGTAGGAGAGAGTCCCCCGGACTGTGCTCACTGCCCCCCAGCTCAGCCCCCCCAAGGCGGGCCTCCTGGGGGACCGCGCCTCACTCACCTGAGAGAGCCAAGGCTTCAGCAGACCTTATGCTTGGCTCTATGGGGATCCCGGGAGCCTGGGACTCAGGCGGGGCACAAGCATAAAAGGTTCCTGTCACCTGGCAACCTGCATTTGCAAATAAAAATCAGAGGATGTCTAAGGAGTCTGTCCATCCCTTGGCTAGGCGGCCTCTCCCTGAGTGCCGGGGGTACCCGCCCGAGAGAGAAGGGCCCAGGGTGCTCAGCACTCTCCAGAAGCACGGGTAAGGGCGCTCTTTTCACAGCTTTGGAGGGAACTGGGGGCTCTCTAATTTCTTTCCTTTCTTCCATCTTTCCCTCTCCCTACATTCCTCCTTCCTTCCTTTCCCTCCTTTTAAGGTTTGCTAACACTGCTATCAGCTCAGATAATTGCCATTGTGTAACTGGGCGTGTGTGTGTCATGAGAACATCTGGGCTCTAATCTCTTGGCAGCTTTTGACTAAATCTTGTTACAGCTCACCATTTTATGATGACCATACCGGCCCTCCGATTCCCAGAACTTAGTCATCTTATCATTGGAAGTTTCTACCCTTTGACAAATACCCTCCACAGTTCATCAGCAGAGGAACTCAACAAGGTGGAGTATTTCATCCCATTCACACAGCAAGGTGCCAGTGGGTCTACGTAAGTTCTAACACACCACAGAGCCAGATTGATTAAAAACCCACACTGCCCAGTCATGCCAGATGGTCCGTGAAGTCAAAACAAGGGCCTCTGGGCAGCAGAAAAGCTGTGACAGGCAACAAGCACACAGAGAGGAAGACCGGGTGACAGAATGGGCACTTCAGCCTCAGACGCTTCAAGCTGCCCCACCAGTCACACAATTCTAGACATTACTAGCTTCACAGAGCCCAAGCGCTGCACACAGGTGATTCTCGGACAGTAATTCCTCCACTTTTCCATGAGAAACCAGCCTCTGCTGCCAACCACCCTCGAGAAGTGAGCAAAACCAAGTTCCGAGCTTTTGTGGAGCGGCGTGTCTCAACACAATTAAGTAATGGCGCGCTTCATCAGCAACACGCAAGCCGGGAGTGACCTGAGCTTGACGAGGGGAGAAGGGGACGGGACAAGCCGTGCAGGAACAGATCTTCCCAGAACTGACAAAAGGAGCCCAGCATTTGACCCTTCTCAGGATTTCTAATTAATAGTGAAGTCAAAACTTGGGTTTTGTTCTGTGGCGTGCAACTGTGAGCTTTTGTCTGCGTTGAGCTAGTGAGCACGCCTGCTGGGAGATGCATCTTGACACCAGGGGCTGCCTGCAGGCCCACAGCCATGTCATCCAGAATGAGCAAAGCTCTCTGGAGCCCAGCCTCTTCTGACGTCACTTCTAACCCCGAGAATAACGCAATGCGTTCAAGGGCCATGTGCTGGCTGACCGATCTCCAGGTGTCTCCAGAGGGAGAGTGTGGGTACAGCCGAGTACCCATTTCACTGAGGAGTGGACAGAAACAGACCAGAGAGATGAGGTGACCACGGGGTCAACACTTCTGGACAATCCAAGAAAAAAGACAACCAAAACCTATTACCTCTGGCCCAAGATTAAAACAACGATTAAACAATCTACCAAACAAATGGTTGAAAAGAGAGAGCCAAGTCAACAAATAAGTAAGTCTGGTTGTGAAAGGAAAGCTGGGCTTTACGGGCTGAGAAGGTGGGTCTCTGACCCCCCTTCCTGGCCATCCCGGGGTGACGCGGCGGCTCCTGGCTGCTGGGTTCATCTCAGAGAGGTGTAAGCTCTGGCCCTTGCCGACACCTAACCATCCCAGAGGGGAGAGAAAATGGGCTGCAGGGAGAAGGGGCAGACGCCTGGGATTGGCCAGAAGACAGAGCGAGACACCATCAGGACCCGTGGGGGTGGGGGGGGACGCCTGCACCAGCCTCAGCACCCTCTTACCGTTTTCACATGCTGGGCCTTGCCAGTGGTGGCTGCGGGGCCCAAATGGCACAGGGCACTGATAGGAGATTTCAGGATGCGACTGGTCAGGGACGTACTCCCTCCAGCTTCGATCGTGCGGAGGCATCATGTAGTTATGGACCTGCTAAAGGCGCGTGAGGGAGCGGTCAGGTGACCCACAGGTTCAGGCTCAGCCACTGCGCCTCTCACGCCGACAGCTCAAGGGGAACCTCTGCTCTGGCCGCCAGCCCAGTCACGTCATCACCAGAAAGGCCTTGCCAGCGACCAGCCCCGCACTGGTGGGAAGCGGCAGTGAAGCCTGGCGGGGGCACAGTGGAGCACTGTTGCAGAACCGCTGTCTGGTTCCATCATGTGCTTAAACCTGGCGCCAGAACGCTCCAGGGAAGGTTGTGCTCTTTGCCCACCAAAGGGAATTCAACAGAGCGGCCTTGACAGCAGGAAGCCTGAGGGGGTCAGCTGCCCTGCGGTTTCGCATGATAAAGCAAGCGCCACTTCCACAAACCTTCCGCTTCCACCAGCTTCCACCGAGGGTTTCCCAGATTTCAGACTCAGCAGTGGCAGGCGCGCGCCACGAAAACCCACACGGGCTGGGCCGCCAGGGAAAAGCCGCCGCTTGGGTCGGCCTTGGGCTCTACGCTAGATCAAAGTTCTGCTCTTTCCGGCCTGGCTTCCCCGTCCCTCCCAGCCCCAGGCTCTCAGGCCCTGGAGGTACCTGCGCCGGGAGGGAGGTGTATGGACTGCTCATGGTGTACGGGTGGCTCATGGCCATCTGCGGGTCTTCCAGGTTGATCTGCTTTGCTCCTGAGTGATTGGGCAAGAGGGAAATGGCACGGCGTGAAAAAAGGAACCGATAGAAGTCAATGTCAAAACTTAGAAAAATACCTGCGCGTTTAATTCCTAGAATGCACAGCACAGTGCGGACAAATAAGGCATTTCTCAGCCCTCCCCTGGGCCTTTACCGCGTGTCTGCCAGGTCGCACCGCCCAGGCCAAGCGGAGAAACGGGCAGGTGAGCACAGGAAGCGGGGACCCCGGCCCCCACCAGACAGGGTGGGTCCGCAAGCGGGGTGGCCCGGAGTCTATTTCAGATTCCAATTCCTGGAACTACTCTGACACACCGGTCGGAATCTTGGAAGGAGAATCGGAGCTTGCGTATGCCAGCGAAGGTAGCACACTCCGTAATAACAATCTCTAAGCGGGTGTCTGTCCCCCGGGTCTCCCCGGGGGGAGCACGAGCAAGTGCTTGATCAGCAAAAGCTTCTCACAAGCTTTCTGTTTTGGCTGGAAATCTGGCCTGCGCCCTAACAAAACTAACTGGAAACACGCAAGCATGTCCATGCACCGGCCAACACGCAGGGGAGGCTTGGGGGTGTCAGCAAGCGATGACCCTTCACTGATTCCCATGAACTTCAGGGGACCCTGGGCAGTGAGGCTGCTGGGCGTGAACCTGCGGCAGACGGCAGGTTTAAAAAAAAAATCAAATTGCGTCAAAGGACCCAGAGAGCGAATGGAAGGTGTCCCAAGCTGCCATGGGCTGGCACACCGAGTCGGGGGCCCACCTTTTTTGGCCCCCTCAGGAACAATTCTGTAGACTTTGTAGGGGTCGGAGATGTCCAGCTGGCTTCTCTCCACCAGCTCCTCGAAGTCATTGCTCTTGTTCAAGGCGCACCGCAGGCGGGTCTTCCAGGTCGGGGGGTCGGGTTTGTCTATGCCTTCTCGAAACTTGCCTTTGAATAATGCCCACGCCTGTGCGTGAAGAGGGAGGAACGTTAAAATACAGGTGGCGAAGAAAGCCTGGGGGTTGTGCTTCTGAAGGACATCGCAGGGCTGAGGTGTTTCAGGTGTTCACCAGGTGAGACCCGTCCCCTTGGGCCCGCTGCGGTGGGCTGGAATGAATGACTTGAGCGCTTTCTAGGGCCTTGTGAAAGGTGGTGTGGTATGAAGCACTCCTGACAGGAGTCCCCCACTCAGTGTCCGAGGGAGCGTGAGTGGAACTGGGAGCCGAGCTGATGCACACACAGCACGGCCGGACAGCCAGACACCCGGAGGTATTCTGAGAGCAAGTTCCCTCAGGAAGTCCCCTGAGCCTGGGCCCCTGCACAATTCACGGGTAAACTACTCTGGGGAAACCAATGGTCGCGGAACACACGAGCAGGCAAGAGAGAACCATCCAGAGAGGCCCCGAAAGAGGGCCTGAGAGCGAATGGGGGGGTGTGGGAAGGGGGTGTAGGAGGAGAATTGGAAGGGGGAGAACAGGAGGGGAGGAAAGGACAGGGGAGAGACTGCCAGACAGGGACCTGTACAAACAGAAGTAGAGAAATTGGCGTGGAGGGAC